ACAGCTCATCTTCAGTATATTTCAAAACTTTGAAGAAAAAAGTACTTTCTAATGCCTGTTTTAAAAAACAAACAAGCAAACAAATAAATTACCTTTGTTTTGTAAAAATGTAGGGGAAGTAGAAAAAACGAAAGAACTATCCTATTCAATGACCTTTACATATGTAGGTTGCCAAAAGAATCTATAGCCTAGATCAAAGTTTGATCTAAACACCTCAAAAAAATCAAGATTAAGACAAGATTTCTTGCCAGGCAGTGGTAGTGCACACCTTTAAACTCAGCACTTGGGAGGCAGAGGCAGACAGATTTCTGAGTTCAAGGCCAGCCTGGTCTATAGAGTGAGTTCCAGGACATCCATGGCTATACAGACAAACCCTGTTTCAAAAAACAAAACAAAAAAACTAAAACAAAAACAGAGACAGGATTTCTTACTTCAAAAGGTATAGTTAAGAAATATTCCCCACAGCAAGCATTAGAATTAGGGTTAGGGGATTAGAGGGTTATGGTTAGGATTAAGATAAGGGTTGTTAGGATTAGGGTTAGGGAGTTAGGAAAATGGCTGACAATTGAATACCAAATGTTTATACTGTATCTTATGTAATTTAGGGACAGAGCCCAAATGGTGAATGTATGAGAGCATGAGAAGAAAGCTGAAAGATCAGATTTAACCATAACACAGTAGACACACAGAACAAAATTGGTCCTGTCTAAAAGGGGAAAAGCTACAGCAGAGAATGAGGGAAATGGCCAATGAAAACTGGCTCAACTGGAGACCTATCTTATAGGCAAGCTCTAATCCATGACATTATTAAGGATACTCTGTTATGATCCCATACAGGAGCCTTGCACAACTGTCCATTGTGAGGCTCCACACAGAAGATGACTGAAACAGATGCACAGAACCAGAGTCAAACTGTGAATCAACCTTGGGAACTGTTATGGAAATGTTGGGGGAAGGACTGAAGGTCCTCAAGAGGATAGGAACTACACAGGAAGACCAACCAACTCAACTAACCTGGACCTTTGAGGACACTCAGTGACTAAGCCACAGACAAAACAGCATACACAGGCTGGACTAGGGCCCCTGGCATATATATAGCAGATGTGGAGCTCAGTATTCATGAGGGTTCTCCAACAACTTTAGCAGGAGCTGTCCCTAAAGCTGGTGACTATCTTTGGGAATCTGTTGTCTTAACAGGGCTACATTCTCAGGCCTAAGTGGGAGAGGATGCACATAACTGAGCTGAGACTCGATGCACCATGGTGTGAGGATACACATGGGGCCAGCACACTCTCAAAGGAGAAACAGAATATTGGTGGAGGAAGTCTGTGAGAGCAGAAGACCAAGAGTCGGGACAATGATCAGGGTTATAATCAATATATAAATTATTGCAGAAACAAAAAAACAAAAGAAAGAACTTTATTAAGACTACAAACTATTCTATCCACCAATGGAATCTGGAAAGGCTTCTCCTACACGAGCTTCCAAAAGCTCCACAAAGAAAGCAAGATATGACAGACAAATATTCAAAGAAATCATCCTATCTACAACCTTTCTGTTTCAATCAACTTTATTCTGACCCTGGACACTATAGGCTCATGTTCATCATTTGATGAAAATGAATTCAGTCTACAGTGATCCTAATAATCTGAAGGAGCTCCTATAAAGTGTTCAAGTGCCTAAAGTCTCTTCTGAAACTCAAGGCAATACCTGGCAAGTCACATCTTGTAAAATACCAAATCCTATAGCTTTGTCTCAAACACATTGGACTTCACTTTCTAAATGCTTTGAAGGCCCATTTCCTGTAACTTTTCATACTTCCCTCAGTTTGGGTACTTCTTCTCCCTCTATGTATCTCTCCATGGCAGATTAATGAATGCCTTGGGTATCTCAACAAGTTGTAGGCACAAAATGCAACAGAAGCATCATCCTTACAACTTTAATGCAATCAGCTCAGAGACTTCCCTGGGACTCTGACTCTGCCAAAAGATAGATGAAATAGTGATAAACTGAAACCATAGAGGAAGAATCCATGATCTTGACAATTTCATCTTTCATTTTCCAGAAGCAGCTCAATATGGGTGATCCTGTCAAGTTTGGCTTCTAAGTTGATAGACTATGCTGTGCTTGGAGCACAGTTGCAGCAGGTTTTATTTAAGGCTTCTTCCTGGGACTAATTTCCCTACTCCTTCCATTAATTTATGACTTAGCAGGAGGAGGTGCAACAGTTAGGGAACCTTTTTAGGCATATATTCAGAAAGGAATGTACTCCACTAAGTTCATACGTGTTTTATGTACTACACCTAGAGACTGCACACAATCCAGCTGTCCCTCACCCAAAATACGGATACAGAAAATGTGGTTCATCTACAAGATATAATACTATTTAGCTATTTAAAACAAGGACATCATGATTTCTGCAATCAAATGGATTCAGCTAGTAACTATCTTCCTGAGGTAACCCAGATCCAAAAGGACATGCACGTATGTACTCACAAGTGAGTATTAACCATAAAGTACAGGATATCCACACTACACTCCATAGACCCAAGGAAGCTAAACAAGAAGGAAGGCTCAAATGAGCATGGTAGATCTCACACAGGAGGGGGAAAAAATAGAAATACGAAGCAGATGGAAGAAAGAGAACAGGATGAAAGAGCAGACAAGAAAGGTAAAGGGGGGCCCTGAACAGGTATGGTGAGACAGAAGGTAGGGCAAGAGGATGAGGAATATGAATCAAAATCTCTAGTTAGTGTGAGTGGAAAAGTAGGGGCATCTTTAGGATTACCAGAGACCACACATGGGAGGGCATCAACGAGTCTATGGGGGTGATCATAGCTGAGATGCATAGCAGTGAGGTATAGACCCTAAAAAGGCCACATGCTACGGCCAGGCAGGACTCCCAGTGGAGAGTTAAGGACACCAACTGAACCAAAAACATGTCCATTCTTTCTTGTTTCTGTCCATAAGAAATGCAGGAACAAAGATGGAGCAGAGATTCAGGGCATGGCCAAACTATACCCTGCCCAACCTGAGACCCATCCCAGGGGCAAGCACCAATCCCTGACATTAGTGAAGATACTCTGTTATACTTGCAGAGAGTCTCTTAGCATAATTGTCCTCTGAGAGTCTCTACCAGAACCTGACTTAAACAGATGTAGAGACTCACAGCTTTACATTGGACAGGGCTCAGGGAATCTTTTGGAAGAGTTGGAAAAAGGATTAAAGTTCTCAGAAGGAACAGGAAGTCCATAAGAAGACTCTCAGAGTCAACTAACCTGGGCCCTAGGAGACTCTCAGAGACTGAGTCACAAACCAAAGAGCATACACAGGATGGACAGAGGACCCTACCATATATGTAGTACATGTGTGTGCTACTCAATCTTTACATGGGTCCCCCAACAATTGGAGCAGGGATGTCCCTTAAGATGTTGCCTGTCTGTTCAAGCTATTCCCCTAACTTGACTAACTTGTTGATCTCAGTGGGAAAGGATGTACCTAACCCTGCAGAGACTTGATATGGCATGGTTGGGGGACATGCAAGTGGTCCCGACTCTCCCTGGGGATATAAAAAGGAGTCAGGGATGAGGGAGAGTGTAAGAATGAATGGATGGTGGTAGCAATTGAGATATAAATTGAATGTATAAAAAATGACAAAAGTGGAAAAATACAAAAAAATAAAATGAAAATATTGAAATCATCCCATTATTTCTAAATTTTGACCTATTCAGTATATCAGAGCATGAGTATGTTACTAAAGATGTTTGGCCAAAATATCACACAAATGAACTCTAGCTAAATTTTTCAGAGTCTATTTTCCATTAAATACCATGACCTCAAGTTAGCAACTCTATCTGAGGTAATAAATGTTTGTTGTGCATGGTTCTGTCAGATCACAGTTCACTGTACTGGGAGCCAAGAATAGAAACTGAAGCTAGAAAATGAAGGCAGAAGCTATGGACAAACACTTGTCTCCTGGGTTGTTTTTTGCTTGGTTACTGACTCATGTTCACCTAGCTCTCTCATCCAGCTCAGAACACTTCCTCAGGGGTCCTGCCACCCTCAGTGCAAGAACCTTTCCATGTCAATCATCAACATAATCTCTCACAGACACAGCAACCAGCCATACTGATGAGGGCATGCCCTCAATTGAGGCTCCTTCAGATGACTGTAGTTCTGAAATGTTGAGAAGTGAAGACAGTTATGACACAGAGACAATCATAAATGAGGAAGTTGTAAAAACCCCAAAATAATGACCTAACCATATCAATTACAGTAGCCCCTGCCACCACAAGAGAGAGGTGGAGTTGAGGTTGAGCCAGGACAAAATGAATAGGCCACCTGACTGAGAGCAGAGAAGGATATACTGGAATTGGGAGTTTAGAAGTTGTGCTGTTCTGGGATAAGGTGTCTTTAAAACCAGGTTTCCCAGTCAGTGCTACCAAAGAGGTGGCTAAAGTAGCTGGAACCTGGATAGAGAAGCAGATTGCCTCACAGAACTGGATATGGCCACCTCCAAATTATAGGATCTCTGGTCCAAGGTAGATATGCTAACTCAGTAGGAATGGATGAAGACCATCCTTCCATCTAATGACAACTCCAAAACAACAGAGTCACATGTGGACTGGGCAGAAGGCAGATCATGAGGCAGAAGAATGAGTTCTTTTTCCTTTCCACCCTGTAAAACTGGGTAGAGAGAGCCTGATTTTGGCCTAAAGGCTATCTCGAGGAGCTTTCTGTCATGGACTATTCAATTGGTTTAGGTCCTGTTGGTTAGAAGGATTTCACCGAAAGTGAGGGGTTAGTAAGTACATCAATTGAGATGGAAACAGTCTCATTTCCTCTCTTAGTCATAAAATAATAAAGTATTACACACATAACAGACAGCCAAAAGGTGGCAGTATATGTAACCCAGGTGATTCCTCCACTTAGAAAGAGGAAAAAATGAAGAGAGGATGGCAGATGCAAGCCATGAAGCAGGGTTCCAAGTCTGCTCTAACCTTCCCAGAAATTAAAACCAAGAAAACAGCATCTCCTCTACCAGGCTCTGGAACAACTTGCAAGCCATTTTTTGGCCACGACTCTCCAGTACATTCAGTATACTGTGCTTCCACATTCACTTTAGTGATTTCACTCCACAAATACTCAAGAAATATCTGAAAAACAAGGTACACAAACATAAATCTGACAGATAAGCCACTGACACAAAGAACATCAATGACTTATCTTAACAGCCAGCCTTTCAACCCTTCAGTTGGGACTCCTGAGGGTCTTGGGGTTCCAGTCAATGCATCAAGATATTATGTCCAAGTCACAGAGACCCCAGAGACCAACAAGAGTCTATGCAATGCAAACACACAAAGGTCTTTATTATGAGCTCATTAACAAGGACTCTTACCAGGTAACCTCGCATATGAGGTCCAAACAGAGAAACCAAGACAAGAGGTATTGTGTATTTATTGTAGAACAGAAAGATTGGACATTAACATACAGCTCAGCAACTTAATATTTTAGAACTTGTATGCCTGACATAATTTGCAGGAACCACTCAAGGGGGCAAAATCATCTGATAACCATAATGGATAGGCTAATTTTATTTTTCTCTGTAAGGTGTATTAGTAATCTATTTGTAGCTTACTCCTGACATTGTACCTTGACTGGCTGTTGATAAGAGGGGTTTCTCATAGGATGTTTAGTCAACTTCATTTTGTGCACTCTCAAATACAGAACTGATCAGACTTTACAAACACAACTTTGTGTCTAAGCTCCTTATTACAGAAAGATACTACTGTTCAACCACAAGCCATGCCTGCTAGTAGAAAAGGTACTTTTTCAAAAGACCTACCTCACTATCTGCTACTGCAGATCCTAATATCAGTTGCCCTTACCACTGGAACAGAATAGGAGTGCAAGGTACCTCTCCCCTTGTGCATGGCTCCTATGGACACTGAAGATAATCCCCACCTGCCCTTCCTTTCCTGCCTCATCCCTGTGTCACAGCTCCCACTTGGGAAGATACACCCTGTTCCATCACATGCCATGCCTGAAAATATGCAAGGTTAGCTTTCCATAGATCTACCGCACCATTTGTTATCCCAGATGAAATTTCTAGAGTTGCCTCTACCACTGTCCTAAACACCAGAGACAACCTAACCTTGCTCCTCACTATGTCTCTTTGTGGATTGCTAAGATCATCTCTTCCTGCCTACCTCTTCTCCCTGCTTTAAACAGGAGCAAGCATTCCCTCTTGAACATACCCACCAAACAGATCAGGAAAAGAGGCAACATTCAGTCAACACTCTCTGAAAATCCAAAAATCAAATAGTAACCCAGGAACAAAACTTCCAAACAAGACAAACCCAGAAACAAGTACCTAGACCAATAATCACCTCAAATACCTAGATAATACCAGCATAGAGATATAATAAGTAACAGCAAGCAAAATATGTCATCAAGAAATCCAAGCTATCCTATCACATCAGGTCATGAGAAATCAAAAACATGTAACAGATATCTTTCAAAAGAGGTTGTTTGGGGGGAAGTAAGAGGAGTGAGAACCTAGGGAAGGGAAGGAGGTACACAAGAGGACATACAGACAGTCAGACAGACAGGGAGCAGAGAGAAAGCCACCAGGGTAGAGACAGAGAACAGAGACAAGGAACAAACAGAGAGAGCTGCTGTATTTGGTGGTCCATGTATATAAAGTGCACCGGACAACAGCAGCAGGTGGTGGCAACAGGGAATGAGTTAAGCATTTGCTAAGTCCCTGAATGCAAGCAACTGAAATTGTCTGTACACTGACAACTACAGAGGCAAGGTTCACCCACAAAACAGGAAGGGAAGATAAATACAAAAATGGACATATTGGTCAAAAACAAAAATGTTGAGTCTGACAGAACTGTGGCAATAAGCAACTAGGAACACTGCAACATATGAGAAAGGAAAAACTACAGATGATTGGAAAAGAAGAGAATATCAGATCAAAAGTCTAGGAAATATTTTTAATGAAATCATAAATGAAAAATTTCCTAAAGTAAAGAAGATGCCTTTTACGGTGAAGAAGCATCGAAAATACCAAACAGATTAGACGGAAAAAAAAAAGTCTCTTTGCCCCATAATAATCAAAAAACTAAACATATAAAGAATTATAAAGAGTGAGTTCCAGGACAGCCAGAACTACACAGAGAAACCTTGTCTTGAAAAACAAAACAAAACAAAAAAACAACAAAAAAATTATAAAAAACGGCAAGAAAAAATTGACAAAAACTAAACAAAACAAAAACAAGTAACATATAATAGAAGACCTATGGGCCTGGTGGTGCATGCCTTTAATCCCAGCACTTGGGAGGCAGAGGCCGGAAGATTTCTCAGTTTGAGGCCAGCCTGGTCTACAGAGTGAGTTACAGAACAGCCAGGGCTACACAGACAAACCCTGTGGGAAAAAAAAAAAAAAAAAAAAAAAAGAAAGCAGAACTAAGATTAGATATATACCAGTCTTCTTGGTTTTTTTTGTTTTTTGTTTTGTTTTTTTGTTTTGTTTTGTTTTTTTAAGACAGGGTTTCTCTATGTAGCCCTGGCTGTCCTGGAACTCACTCTATAGACCAGGCTGGCCCAGAACTCAGAAATCCATCTTCCTCTGCCTCCCAAGTGCTAGGATTAAAGGCATGCACCACCACTTCCTGGCATATTTTTCTTTTTGTTTTGTTTTGTATTTTAGTTATATACCAGTCTTCTTAATGTATAATATAAAAGAAAAAGTGTTTGGACACATTTGATATTTCTCCAAGCAAGCCAGTGATCCAAATATTTTGGGCAAATTATAATAAGCCATGATAGTGAAGTTATTGATAGGTCACCACCTGATTTGGCAAGTGAGGAGCACCACAAGGGACCACACATGTGGTCACATCAGGCTGATGGTTTGCCTCCAGAAGGAGAGAGGACCCACCACCCCAGCTCCCACTGCTCAGCAACCTATTCCTCCCTATATTGGGTATTTTTTTTACTGTACTCACCATGTCACGGTTTCAGACCTTCCTGGGGTCCTCTCACAGCACCCGACAACACAGCTCAGAGCTGGAAGCAGAAAACCATCCAAACCTGCACCCTGCACAGTCACAGCAAACTTGCAGAGAGGAACCCGGAAGATCCTGCCTCTTCGTCTGACTGGCAGATCCACTTGGAGGCCTGATTGGCCAGTGAATTTTCCTCAAGTTTAAAGTGTGCTTGTGATTGAGGGTCAGAACTTTCAGGATCTCAGGAGTGGTCTGCACTCCATTAGCCACTCCTCCAAGAGGAATCTCACCTCACCCAGCCCTGAGGGAGAACCTGGACTTTCAGCTCAGGCTATTCAGATACTTGATCCAACCCCCCTCTATGAGCATTGTTCCTGCACTTATCAGGACCTGACTTCAGACCTTGCCTGAGCTTTCCTCACAGCACTTGTCTTCTTCTTCCTGAAATCAAGGTGAATAGCTTACATTGGTGCAGTGGTGGTATAAGTCTGATCCAGGAATGGAAGAGTGCCCAGTCTATTAACACTAAAGAGGGATTTTAGGAAACAAAAGTTCTGTTTTGTGGCTTCACAATGGGCTCAGGGAAACTGCATCTCCCTGTCATCAGATGATTGGTATCAAAAAACCCTGGAAGAAAAGCCACAAACATAAGGGAAACACTGTTGAGCACTATTGTTAACCAGCACAGCTTCGTCAATGATGGAAGCAGAGAAAAACTACATTGGATTATTATAGGTTCTCTAGATAAACATATCTCAAATCATAGAGAGAATGACTCTAGACATAGAGAAAGGATATTTAATAAAATGTCCTAATACAGGCTTTTGTCCAACGGAAATTAGAAAAACCAAGGACTGGTTGATTTCGTGTTGCAGAAAATCACAGCTGATCTTCAGTTTATACTAGAATTGTGAAGAAATAAGTACTTACTAATACCTTGAGTAGAAGTTATAATAGTCCTAACAGTCTGAGTTTTGTGGATGTTTTCCCACTCACATAACAGAGTCCTTCCATGACATCTTCAGTGACTGTCTTATTTTCAGAATCTTTTGTCTTCACTTTAGTTTTATTTTGGCCCCTTAAAGGACTCTTCTCTGAAGCAGCATAGCTGCTGCTCTTTTATATCACTGCTTTGGTCAGTATAAAAATGTAGGATGATCCATTTTACAAACATTAAAGAGTACAGATATCCTCTCAAGTCTGACTACAGTGCAATCCCCATATTCATCTTGCCACAGCATCAGTAGTGATGAATTCATGGAAAGACAGGAGCATTTGTGAGAAACTGAAGATTGGGAAAGACTAAATACAGAAATGAAAGACACATTGCCATACAACCATTTCTTCAAATGAGGTAAGGAAGGTAGTTCCAGTATTTGTTGTGGACATGTAAACCAGAGGATCTGAATTCCATTTTTTGGACCTTTGAAGAAAACCAGAGATGCTGACTGGAACTGTTGGGAGCAGGGACTCTTATCTGTTATGAGCAGGCTATTGATAAGGGGTTAGAATCCCCCGAGGGGAGAGGAGCAACAGGTCTTTCTCCACTCAGGGATTGTATACTGGGTTTGACTGTGAGATTTTCAGCTCCAAGATGGGGAAGATATAGTATGCCAGAGAAACAGAGGATTTGGAATTCAGTTACTCTTTAATAAATAATGCACAGCAAGCAATATATTATCACCAGTGCTAAGGCTATTGCTACAACAATGTATTGGCATATTTCCTATGCATTGCCTCTAACAATATACACAATGAACAGAAATAATTAATTGCTAATTACCAAAGAAATAAGCATTGCAATAAGCACATCATTCATTCATGGATTATAGGAACTGAGTCCTTTTGATGGTTTAGGATTACAGGTCCAGAGCCCAGGAAGGGGGTTGGGGGTGTCATGCTGGGGCTTCCAAATAGTTGAATTGCTAATTTGACCTCTTAGGTTACTTGACCAGGAAGGAGCTGGAGGCATTGGTCTCTTGGTTAACTCTCTGATGACCGGGTGCTAAGGAGGCTTTGTCCAGAGGATCACATTGGACAGTCATGGCTACAAGTGTGAGGAAGTGCTCCAGATGGGCTCCTCTTTTATGTTTGATTTGGCTACTGCTGCCGAGCATGGCAGATAACCACTCGTGTCTGTTATCGCCAGGCTCTGACCTCATCACAGCTGGTTATCACAGCACAACTTTTACTTCCAGACTTGTCTTTACAAGTACTAGACTAGTCTTAACAAGTTTCCTATTACAAAACGGAGTTGATCGTGTTTAGGGGCCTGCTCCTTACATTCCATCCCTTACACCTGAAATGATGTCAACATGAAAGGTATCCACTCAGCAAACGCACTTGGAGGATTTACATGATTTCCATGCAAGGCTCTTTGATAATTTCTATCCATCATATCCATTACTGCATAGTCTCCCTTCATACAATCTATTGGATGTTCTCATATATTATTAGCTTTCTTTCTTTTTTTTTTTTTTTTTTTGGCTATTTTATATGTTCTCCAAACTAGGTACCAATCTAAATATGCTGCAAATTTAAACAATAAATCATAAGTGGTCTAACCAGTGTTCTCCTAACAAATGATTCTTTGCTTTTGGGTGAGTGTGTCCTATCTAAGTAATTCATAGCACAGTGCCAATCTCCATCTAGGAGGTGCAGTGCTTCCCAAGTGTTGTGTCTTATCATTGTTCTGCATAGCTCATAATGGGAGTAGTTGCCCTTAGTTAAGTAGCAAATAATCATGCTACTGAGCAAGTGACATAAATGGTCAAGTGGGTGTTTATTCATTCTAGCAGTTCTGTTGTGATTTTCATGGTGTAGTATGTGGTTTATGAGCTCTGCCAATGGATCAGATTGTCTAGGTGAGAGGTAAAAGGTGGCATACCTGTGTTTGCAGAAATGGCAAGTTCCTCCCAAAACAATGGGTATTATGCCCATTCTTGCAAAAATATCTTCTAAGGGTCACCAATGTTTGATCCATAGTAATTTAAGTGCCTTTTTAATTCCTCTGCTCTGCAGGAAATCAAATTTTCTACCAGAGGGGTTGCCATAATGTTTTGGTGTTCTTCTTCTTCTGCCTGGCATTCTGGAAGAGAGGTTTTATGCACATCATGATCTTAAATGTAACATAACCTATCAATATGTAGATTATTAGCCATGTTGTTTGTTTTATCCATTGCCACAAATTGTATATTGGGGGAAATGTTAGGTCAAATTGGCTCAGTCTTGCTAAGTAATGCCAGAAAGAACATTCTTCAAGTTTTTTATCCCAGTCTTTATGGATGTAGGTATTTGTTCTTAAGATGCCTACTAGGTTATGTAAATCTGTTTGCAAATGTGATAGGTCAGCTTCTGCTTTGGTAATTGTGTTGTGAATACCTTTAAATTGTTTTTTTTTTGTTATGTTCTATATTGCTGTATAATTTGTTCATGTCTTCTTTGAATCTATTGTAAGCATCCATGTCCACTGTGTCATCCCAATTACTGTCTCCAGTCATTGTATGATGATGTTCACTAGATAGGCTGGTGACTAAAGTTTGGTTTAGTATTTGAAGCATGCTGCACTTGTGTATTATCCAACATCCTTCTGCTAATGGTATTATGAAGGTTTCCCAAGTTCTGGATGTGGTATTAAGGTCTGTGCATGTTCCATTCTGGGGGTAGTTTGAGCATATGAAAAAGTTATGGTCCCCCAGAGATGTAATTGTATCATAAAGCATGGTAGTAGTCAATCTGGTCTGTTCTATTTTAGTTGTTGCTTTGTGTAGGTATATATATGTGTTTGCTCCCATTTCTATGCAATCAGACATTGGTATAAATGCTGGTATATCATCTACTGATGTCCATAGAAATTGATCAATTGATGTTAGGATTACCTTAGCTGGGGTTGTTAAATCTGGCACTATCATGGGTGTGTGGACTACTCCTGGTGTACCTTTTGGTGGAATTGCAAGTCCTTGCTTGTAGTGAATGCTATATAAAGGGTATTCTGTGTGGTTCCTGGTTATTGTTCCTCTATATAACAGTCTTGGTTGTGTATCTGTAGTGTTAGGCCATATGTCCCCTGAGAGGGGCATGTATAGTACATAATCCCAATTGTCTTGGTCATAGACCTGCATTCCTTTGAGTCTGTGGGTCATGATATCTGTTTGGACCCATTCATGGGTCTGAGAGTGGGTGGTTAGTAAATAGCTATAGTAAGGTAGGCCTTTGTGAATTAGTTTTTTAGTTTTCCATGATATAATATTCATGGTTTCAAACCACTCTAAATTCATGGTAAAATTATTAGTGAATGTGATCCATGCTTTAGCCTCTCTAAGCTCATCATCTTTATGTGGGTTAGTTACTGACCAAAAATATGAGTAGGAGCCAGTCTTTGCCATGTCTTGTCTGACTATGGTTGGGATGTAATAGTCTATCATTGGGTTGGTTAAGTTTACTTGTCTCCATCCGTTCCACCATACGTTTTTATTCTGGAATCCGGTGTAAGTAAAATTCCTGTGTAAGTAAGTAAGTAAGATTATGAGACCCTTTGGCCATTTCTGATTGCTTAATCCAAGGTTCTACAAACATGGTCTGGTTTGTAAATTTTCCTTCTAAATTTAGAGGTATAGGGGTTATGTTGCCCTGCTGTTTATGGCATATAGTCACATTAGGGCTGTATTTGGTATAGTTCAAGACTTGTCCTCATTTAGGATAAGGTATGTAGAATTTACAAAGAAAATGGATTTAATTTTGTCAGTTCTTTGCCTAGTTCCTTGCTTTGCTTGGGTGTTATCCCAGTTAGTGTGGTCTGTTCTCAGTGTGGCGTTCCTGACATGGTAGATAGAGGAACATTCCTCCATTGTTGGTGGGACTACAAGATGGTGCAACCACTTTGGAAATCAGTCTGGCGGTTCCTCAGAAAATTGGACATAGCATTACCTGAGGATCCAGCTATACCACTCCTAGGCATATAACCCAGAAGATGCTCGAACATATAACAAGGACATATGCTCAACTATGTTCATAGCAGCCTTATTTATAATAGCCAGGAGCTGGAAAGAACCCAGATGTCCTTCAACTGAGGAATGGATTCAAAAAATGTGGTATATTTACACAATGGAGTATTATTCAGCTATTAAAAACAATGAATTCGAGAGGTTTCTAGGTAAATGGATGGAACTAGAAATTATCATCCTGAGTGAGGTAAGCCAATCACAAAAGAACACACATGGTATTCACTCACTGATTATTGGATATTAGCCCAGAACCTTGAAATGCCCAAGATGCAACTCACAGGCCACATGAAGCTCATAAAGAAGGAAGACCAGTGGGGGTGATTCGGTCCTTCTTAGAAGGAGCAACAAAATAATCAAGGGAGCAAATATGGAGACAAAGTGAGGGACAGAAACTGAAGGAGGGGGCCGTCTGAAGACCATTCCACCTGAGTATCCATCCCATGTGCAGTCAGCAAAGATAGATGCTGATGTGGAAGTCAGGAAGTGCATGCTGATAAGAGCCTGATATAGATGTCTCCTCAGAGGTCTGCAAAAGCCTGACATATTCAGAGGCAGATGCTCACAGCTAGCCATTGAACTGATCATGGGGTCCTCAATGGAGGAGTTAGAGTGAAGACTGTTGGAGCTGAAAGGGTCTATGGCCCCATGAGGAGAGCAACAATACCAACCAACCACAGCTCCCAGGGTCTAAACCACTAGCCTGGGAGCAATTAGGGAGGGATCCATGGCTTCAGCTGTATATGTAAGGGTGGAGGGCCCTGCTGGGCATAGGTGGGAGAAGAGATCCTTGGTCTCATGAAGGCTGGACACCCCAGGGGGGTGGGAATTTGAGGGTGGGGAGGTGGGAGTTGGGGTGTAGGTAGGGGTACATCTGCAGAGAAGCAGGAGGAGGGGTGAGGGGATGGGGGTTCCTGGGTGGTTGGGGGATGGGGTAAGGGGATAACATATGAAATGTAAATAAAACATCCAATAAAAAATTTACAATGCAAAAAAAATCTATTAAGAAAAAAATGTTTTTTCAGTTTCTCTTCTTATGACTCCTTTTTCATTTCTGTTTTTTCTTTAACATGGATACTGTTTCTATGTCTTCCAATTAGTGTGCTTTTAATCTTGTTGATTTTCTCAAAGAACTAGCTCTTGGCTTTTTGATTCTCTGTATCATTCTGTTCTAATTGGTTGATTTCTACCCTGAGTTTGACTATTTCCTGCTGTCTACTTCTCATAGGTGTATTTGCTTCTTTTTGTTCTAAAGCTTTCTGGTGTGCTTTTAAGTTGCTAGTGTAGGATCTCTCTGGTATCTTTATGAGGGCACTTAGTGCTATGCATTTTTTTGTCTTACCACTGCTTTCATTGTGTTCTATAAGTTTGGGTATGCTGTACATTCATTTTCATTGAATTTTAGAAAGTCTTTCATTTCTTTATTTCTTCACTGACCAAGTTATCATTCAATATAGTTGTTCAATTTCCACGAGTATATGGCTTTCTCATGTTTTTGTTGTTATTGAAGTCTAGCTTTAGTCTGTCCTGATTTTATACGATTCATGAGGCTATTTCATTTTCTTTTATTTGTTGTGATGTACTTTGTGACAGATTATGTGGTCAATTTTGGAGAAAATACCATGAGATGCTGAGAAAAAAAAACATATATGATAAAATGTTTGGAGTGATTAAGGTTACAAGGGACATACTTAAACATAATTAATTAACTTTACAGCAAGCTTATTGCTAACACCTAATTAAATCTATGAAATTCTAAATAATTCCACTAAATCATGAACAAGACAAGGTGGTCTATTATCTCCATATCTATTCCACTTGCTATCTAAATGTTTGGCTAGACTAATGAAACTGAAGAAGATGAAGGTAATGTAAACTAGAAAGGAGGAAGTAAAATTATCTTTATTTGCAGGTGATTTGATAGTATGCATAAGTGAACCAAAACTTCCCAAAGGCAACTCCTAGGGCTGATAAACACTTTCAGCATATTTGTTAGATACATAATTAACTTAAAAATAGAAAGAAAATTCGTGGCCTTCACATATACAAAAGATTTTGTAAGTGCAAACAAAATAGAGAGACATCATAAACGTTAAGTTGATTATTGTTGCTTGTCACATTTTTTCTACATAATAAGTAACCTTGAGTAAGTGAATGCAATTGTGTT